GTAGACTACTCCTACTGCTCAGGAGTACTCACCTACTTCTCCTGAGTAGCTGTGTCTGTATGCTCATGCCACCGCAACGGCTAATTTTTGTATTTGTTTTAGAAACAGGGTTTCACCATGTTGCCCAGGCTGGTCTTGAACTCTTGGGCTCAAGCAGTCTGCCCACCACGGCCTCCCAAAGTGCTGGAATTACAGCCATGAGCCACTGTGCCCAGCAAGTGTTTTTTAAAAATTAGGAAATGAGGCAAAAGGAACACATGAGTAGGAAAATTAGGCACAGCCAGGATAAGGGTTAGTTCACAAAGTGCAAACTATAAATAAAATCTCCTAGAGGCAAGTTAGGAAGGTTTTCTGAGTTTCCTAGCAGCCAAAGCAAAAAGGAAAGCTTTTTAAAGTTTATTTATTTTGTTTTGTACAGCAGACAGTTCATATAGCATAAAAAGAGAAACCATTAAGGATAAAATTTGTGTGTCTGTAAGATACAGATTGTCATGAGAAGAGTGTTTCCTTATACTGCATCAACTTTCCCCATAAGTGCACTCTATAAAAGGATACTGCATGGTCAAATGGGCCCTTGTTCTCCCTGCTTCCCTGCAGTGATAGCATAGTCATTTGGTTGACTTCTTGCAGTGTCCCTTGGGGTAGCCTTGGTGGCAAAGCCCCAAGTAGGATGAGGGCACCATGGGAGGCCTGTGCAGGGTGTTTCAGTGCAGTTCTTCGCATCTCCAAAGGTGCTCCCTTGAGGAATCTTGGTTCTGGGAGATGCTGTCCCACAGAGAAGTGCCAGGAGCAAATGGGTTGGGCAAGAACTATTGATACTGGCATATTAAAGGCTCCTTGAAGCCCTACAATTAAGAAATGAGCCCATATTTCCCAAACTGATTTAATCACAAGACCTTTTTTTAAAAAAAATAAAACACTTAATTGGCATATTCAGAAACATTGATCTAAAACAGGGGTCAGCAAACTTCCTGCGAAGGGTCACATAGCAAATATTTTAGGCACAACTAAAACAGCTGTCTGTCACAGCTAGTCAGCACTGCCATTGTATAGAAAAAGTGTGGCTATGTACGATAAAGCTTTATTTGTGAGTAGTGCCATTTGAATTTCCACTATCATTTTTGCGTCACAGAATAGTATTCTTCTTTTGATTTTTTATTTTTTAGTCATTTAAACATATTAAAACTGTTCTCATCTTGTAGGTCATTCACAAACAAGTGGCAGGCCAGATTTGACCAGTGTAATATGGTTTGCCAATTCCTGATCAGGAATAATGTTTGGATGGCTTACCTTTCCAGCAAGCAAGCCTTCCTGAGTACTGTTTGTCAGGTTCCATTTTAATTTAGACTTTTATGTTTCTGGTTTAAGAGCAGATTAAAAAGTGTTAAAGGTAATAGAGAGTTGGTTTGAGTCCTTACAGGCTAGTCTAGGATTTTCCTTAGAAAGCAGTTGTGGGTGCTCCCAAAGAAGACATTTACAAACTGATAAACAAAGTCTTACACGGTCACATATGGTTGAATCAACTTCAGGCTGGAAATGTCTTAATGGGCATTATCATTAATGCACCGGATCCATAGAAATGAAAGTCTCAAAGCACCCAGAGACATTTAATTTTAAGAAAATAAAACTTCCTAGTCAACCCTCCAAGTAATCTAGTAAACTATGGTTTCCCACCTGCAACCAAGCTAATGGAGTTCTTTTTGATTTTGACTAGGGGAACATTTTTTTGGCTTTTATGATGTCATTATGATGAAAGAAGAAGAACCAAACATTCCTACTACCATGTGTGACTTTTTAGTTTCAGTTATACAAGTCCTTTTTATTGAGTACTCAGTGTATATAAAACATTTGGTTAGGTTTTATGGGAGATACCAAAAGGAGACAGAAGTGGACACTTCCTTCTTTACCTTGTGAGCCAAGTTCAAGATCCTCATCAATTACAGCCCATTGCTGTGGTGCCAGGTCTGATTTCACCTCCTGGGCACTTCCTATTGCCATCCATCTGTTCATTCAGCAAACATGTCTGAGGTGCGGCCTCTGTTCAAGGCTCTGGGAACACAGCCCTTGGAGCACACGTTCCAGGAGATCAGTGTTTCTCTTCTCCTCTGGCACTCTTGCTTACAACCTCTTTTATATAGTGGAACCAGAATTACTTCTGTATATCTTGAGGCTTGAACCTTCATGTTCCCTACACTGTGTGTGACTCTTCTCGAAATATTTAGTGGGAGAGTGGGTCTCCTGATTAACCACCCTTTCTGGGATCTGCACTCTAAATGCTCTTGTTCCCTCCACCTGAATGGCACCCAGCTTTCCCTGCCCTATTGTCTTAGCATCCAGTGGGGACACAGTTTTTACCAGATCTGTAATCTTGAAGCCATTAACTATATTAAGCCAAATGCACCTTGTAACAAATGTTACAAGATAGCTAAATCTATGTACAAACAATAGTACATATCTGATCAATTGTTTTTTGATTGAGGAAGATTCTCTACAGTTTTGATTTTTTCCATTTACAAAAGTAATATTAAATTGCATTGAAAAATTTTAAAAATATGAAAAAGTACACATTAAAGGGAAAAAAAATTAATCCATAAATCTAGCACCTGTCGATCAACCCTATGAGTATTTAACATATATATTTTACTTTTCTTGATTTGAAAGTCACATTAATTTTTTAAAAAAATAGTAAACAATAAAATTGACCTCCTTTTGCTGTATGTAAAATTCTGTGAATTTTAAGACATGTATAGATTTAGTTCCAGTCCCTCTGCTGCCCCCACACAAGCATCCCTTTCCTAGCTCTGGCAATCACTGATCTGCTCTCTGTCTTATCTCTGTTTTCCTTCTGTTCCGTTCTGTTCTCCTCTTCTCCTCTCCTCTTCCTCTCCCCTCCCCTTTTCCCACCCCCCTTTTGTTTTTGTTTTTGAGACTGAGTCTCTCTCTCTTGCCCAGGCTGGAATGTAGTGGCACAATCTTGGCTTACTGCAACCTCCGCCTTCTGTGTTCAAACAATTTTTCTGCCTTAGTCTCCTGAGTAGCTGGGACTACAGGCGTATGCCACCATGCCCAGCTAATTTTTGTATTTTTAATAGAAACGGGGTTTCATCATGTTGGCCAGTCTGGTTTTGAACCCCCGACCTCAGGTGATCTGCCCACGTTGGCCTCCCAAAGTGCTTTGTTTTCTTTTTGAGAGTGGCTCTTTTCACTCAGTTCAATACCTTTGAGATTCATCCAGGCTGTTGGATTTATGAATAATTTGTTAATTTTTGTTGCTAAATACTGTTCCATTTTGGGAGTGTACCACAGTCTGGTTGTCCATTTACCATTTAAGATTACTTTTTGGGTTGGGCATGGTAGCTCACACCTATAATCCCAGCACTTTGGGAGGCCAAATTGAGAGGATCCCTTGAAGCCAGGAGTTTGAGACCAGCCTGGGGAACAGAGTGAGATCCTGTTTCTACAAAAAGTTTTAAAACTACTCCAGTATGGTGGCATGCACCTATACTGTCAGTTGCTTGAGAGTCTGAGGTGGGAGGATCATTTGAGCTCAAGAGGTTGAGGCTGCAGTGAGCCATCCAAACAAGGTTATTATTTTTTAAACATTTGACATTTTTGAAATTCTAAAATGTCTTAAAATTAATGTATATATTTAATGTGGTGGGGTTTTTATTTCTTCAAAAGCTATTACAGAATTGATGGTGCATCTTATAATTAATACTCTCTTAGGATTGAAGTATTGTGGTTAGGATTAGAGAGGGCTGTTGGGAGTAATTAGGAGTAGGGTAAGTGGACAGTTAAGACTGAGACAGAGAAAGGCCCCGAGAGCTTGTGGCAGGCCAGCACGAGAGCAGCTTGGCAGCCTCTGAAGACAGGGTCTCGCTCTGTTGTCCAGGCTGGAGTGCAGTGGCCCAATCATAGCTAACTCCTGCCAAGGAAGTTTTGAACAGAGGAGCAACACCAGGAAAGAAGTCTTTAAGGACAAAGCCTGTCTTATCATGGTTGGTACAAGTATGGACAACATCATCAGTGTTGATGAATCAGCAAAAGACAGAGAAATGGTGGCAGTGCACTGCTAGTACTGGTTGGAGTGGAGGAAGAACCTAGGAAGCAGTGAGCACTGACTAGAGAGTGTGGCATGGAGGCAGAAGGGCAGTTGCTGCAGAATACCCCAATCTCCAGGCAGTGCCCAGGCAGGAAAGGCCAGAGGTGTGGAGAGCCAAGGACAGCTGCTGCCAAAATCTTTAGGTGTTTACATGGTGGAAATGGGTGGGTTGAGTCAGGCATGCTATATGGGAAACTATAAACAGAATGAGAGTTTCACAGGTTAAGAGTGCAGTGTTCGTAAGGATACTGTGCAAGGATAAAATGGTGAACTTAGTATAAGCTTGGTTGTAGTATATAATTATTCTGTGGAAACAGACTGTGATTTGTGCTACTTCCAGGTAGGCTTATTTTATGGTTAACTGTACGGCCCAGTTTTTTTGCAAAGCTTATTGTTGGGTCTCATCGCCCTGTATCGCATGTCAGATGACTTATTCTTTGGCATACCCCCATTTTTTTCAATATAGGAGAATGAACAGTAAATTATCTTCACAGAGGTCCTTAAAGGACAGCTTCCCATCAGACACTGGAGAAGGATATTTTACCAAAGTTGTAAATTGAAGAATAATTTACCAAAGTAACTTGCCGCTCTTGTCGGCCAACTCTTCTTGAGAAGCCTCGTTCATGGAAGCAGCCTCATTTTCACCCACTCACATCTCTTCTGGCTTGGGGTGAAGGAGAAGTAGGTGCCAGTTCACACAGAGGAAGAGAAAATCACTCACCCATTTCTCTCTTCCCAGTCTCACATTTAACTAAAGATCTCATTCTCATAGAAGTTATTTTTCACTTTCCCTAACAGAGCACATATACAAAATTCACTGTTCTTTAAAGCTGTACTATGATGGGGTAAAGTTGCTATTATTTGTGGCATTGCTAATTGTTTCTTCAATCTTTCCTAGAAAAGACTGTATCTTCACCATTGACCCATCAACCGCCCGAGACCTCGATGACGCCCTCTCCTGCAAGCCACTCGCTGATGGTAGGATGGAAATTTGTATAGCATCCTGGGCAGCAGGCAGTCTGCATGCCTGTGTGGTTTGCCTGGCTGCCCTGTGCTCCCTAAGCATCATACTATGCAAGGCTAGGTTTGCTTTGTGCCTGAACTTGCCACAGGCCTCTGAGCCTTTACAACTATGTGACCTTAAGGTTGTGTTCCTGGGCTGGGCGCAGTGGCTCATGCCTGTAATTCCAGCACTTTGGGAGGCCGAGGCGGGCGGATCACAGGGTCAGGAGATCGAGACCATCCTGGCTAACACGGTGAAACCCCATCTCTACTAAAAATACAAAAATATTAGCCAGGCATGGTGGTGGGCGCCTGTAGTCCCAGCTGCTGGGGAGGTTGAGGCAGGAGAATGGCGTGAACCCGGGAGGCGGAGCTTGCGGTGAGCTGAGATCGCGCCACTGCACTCCAGCCTGGGTGACAGAGCGAGACTCGTCTCAAAAAAAGAAAGAAAGAAAGAAAAAAAGATTGTGTTCCTGTGGTGACGTTGGTGAGGGTGAGAATGAGAAATATTCTCTCACTAGACTCTTCTTGGGCCTCCGAAGGGGCAACAGTGAGTGCAAAAGAATGAATTGCAAGCCTTGGCCCTTCAGATAGTTCCAGTGTTGGCGTAAGGTATCAAAGTTCCTAAGGGCTCTGCTTGGGAGAGACATAGAGTTCTTTACCTGAATTTAACACCAAATAACGTGATTGAAGGGGTACTCTTCAAAGTCATGCTTCCAGTTGGGTAGCAGGAACACCTTCCCTGAGAACTGCCTCTCTAGGGCTGAGCTGGAGAAGCCTGGGCTACTCCCAGTAGGTTTTCATCTGTCCAGCAAGCTGAGAAAGGCAAACTGATAGGGGCTCTTTAAACATTCTTCTGGGATGTTACTGAGCAGGTAAAAGTAGGATTGAGGCTAGTTGTCTTTGGAAATTATAGCTGGAGGAAGGGAATGCAGCAATTGACTCTCAAAGGAAAAATGTGTAGGATGTGAGAAAAGTGAACCCTACCAATTCTCCCCTCCCCCTCCCCTCCATTGCCCTCCCCTCCTCTTCTCGACAGAGTCTCACTCTTTTGCCTAGGCTGGAGTATAGTAGCATGATCATGGCTCACTGCAGCCTCAATCTCCCAAGCTCAGGTGATCATCCCACTTCAGCCTCTCAAGTAGCTGAGACTACAGATGTGCGCCACCAAGCCTGGCTAATATTTTGTATTTATGGTAGAGATGGGGTTTCACCATGTTGCCCAGGCTGGTCTTGAATTCCTGGGATCAAGTGATCCATCCACCTCAGCTTCCCAAAGTTCTGGAATCACAGGCATCAACCACCATGCCCAGCACCCGCAATCCCTTTTCTAATACCGCAGATGTGCTGCTTCTAGTTTTTACCTATTTCTTGGCCCTCTCTAGGGTGGCTTCTGGGTGACTGCTTTGGCTTTGGTCATCCTCACAGATGATCTTGGCACTAACATGGCCTTTGACATTTGCCCAATGTGGATATCCACCGTTGCAGTTTCAGTCTGCTACCAAGCACTGATGGCCTAGTGGCCTAGTCTTTTAAAACATTGCAAAGATGTTCATATCTCCTGTTTTTATCTTCCTTGAAACTATGGGCAAGATTGCTCAACATTTTCTTTTTAAAAAATTAATTAATTAATCGATTTTTAGAGACAGGGTCTCACTCTGTCGCCCAGGCTGGAGTTCAGTGGCTCATTGCAGCCTTGAACTCCCAAGCTCAAGCAGTCTTCCTGCCTTGGCCTCCCAAAGCACGAGCCACCATGGGATTACAAGCACAAGCCACTGTGCCCAGCCTCAATATTTTCAACTAAAGAAAACCGAAAGAAAGATAAAGCATGACAAGAGAAAAGGTCCCCTGGAAATTTTAGAGAAATTATATCTTTTTAAAATCCAAAATTCAAGCAGCCTACTTCAAAAGGCAAGTACTGGCTCGATTTCTTACATTCTTAGCAATCTCTGTTGCATGCAGAGGCTTAGGCATACCTGCTCGGTATGTAGATGCCACTTCCCTAAGCCACAGTGTGAAAAGTGCGCCTAGGCTGAAAGCCAGGTGACCATGGACCTCATTCCTCATATTTTCCTTCCCTCTAGGTTCACACCTCTACTGTTTGTGTAATGCTTGGACAGAATTGCTTCCTTTGTTTTGTCCAGTTTCATAGTTGATAATAGCAGAAGGATACATCTACTACCCGTTCCTCTGTCTCAGCTGGCCTGGAACGCTGCACCTTGCAGGGATTCCAGGGAGCTGGCACATGTCATACCCTACTCACTGCATACACTGCAGTTTTATGTCTAGGGTACAAGTGTGTCAGCAGAGGTTTCTTAGAGGAAGTGGTCAAAGATATGGTAGGAAATATATACTGGGGACAGATTTGGGGACAAATTTTCAGACCAAATAGTGTTTTTTGTTTGTTAGACAATGGAAAGGCAAGCAGATGTTGTTCAGCAAGAGAGCATTCAAAAAGAGGAAAATAATTTAGCACTTCAAGGAAAAGGAGAGAAACTAGAGGCTGGAGAATGAGTCAGAGAAACATTGCAATAGTTATGGACTTGGACTAGATGGTAGCAAAATCAATAGGGGGGTTGGAGTGGGAAGGACGGATGTGAGAAAGGGATAATGACAGAAGAATCTATGGAAATGAATGCTGGGGTTGAGGGAGAAGAGTCCAAGATGGTGCCAAGGTTTCAACCTGGATGACTGGGAGATGGAACCCATAAGTTAGAAATGGGAATCAGGAGTACAAGCTGGTTTGGGAGAGAGTATGTTGGCGTGGAGTTGTCCGTCTGATGATATTTATGTTAGTTGCTGCAAATTCTTTGTAGAAGAGCTGAAGTATGTATAAATAAGCTAATTAGACACAGCCCATGGAACTATATACGAAGAGCCCTGGAGGAGAGGAAGCAATGCACCAAAATGCAGTGATTTTATTTGAATGATGGGATCATAAGATATTTTTTTTCCCTTTCTTTAGTTTCCAAATTTTTGTAATGTGGCAATAATAGTTTTATAATGAAAAAAATTGTGTAATACAAAAATATTATGAGGTGCCAGAAATCACAGGCCGCTCAGTAGCCTGCTGCACCAGGTGACCAGACACCTTCCATCCACTTAGTTTCTCTGTCGTTCCAGAGGAGCAGTTTGGCAGAGCAGCAGAGAAAGGACATGGAAAAGGAGTCAGGGAAGACTCCGAAAAGGCCTGAGTTGGTCGGCGAACAGTTTTACGGTGGCACTTCTACAGTTGGCCTTTGTGACAACAGTTCCTGCCAGGGCCATTTATCCAAGGAGTTGAAAAGGGAAAGTCATTTCCAGTTTGGATTGGGGTGAGATTGGCTAAGTTCAGGTTGAGGTAGTTACCAGTTCATGTCAGTTCTTGCTTAGGGGGAAAAATGTTAAAGTTTCAAAAAACAAATAGTGTTTTCTTGGCCTATTTATATCATCTGTAGTTTTGTTTTGTTTGTTTGTTTGTTTTTAAAGAAACTGTAAAGTTTAACTTTCCTTTGGTTTCATTAAAATTATCTGAATGACCACTCTGTGAAAAGCAGACAGATGTAACATACCTGGTCCTCACTTTCCCTTTTGGTAGAGTTCAGATGTACTCCAGGACTTGTTAGCGGTATCTATCAGGTGAGGCACTCCAGTGATCAATTCAACAAACCGCAGTGACCACCTGTCTACCAGTAGATCATAATTAGGTTGCAGGCGGAGGAGAGGGCGCCACCTATCTTCGTGAAATCTCAGCTTGGAAGGGATTCTACTAGTCATCCAACCTGGTAATTCTCCACTTTTCTTAGCCTGAAAACACACTTCAGGAGAACACTCCCATGAGCATTACCCAGCAATGTAGAGTTTTTCCACCTTTGTTCAAGAAAATGTTTAGTGATATAAGTGAATAGGAGTGGCGTTATAGTGATAATCCAGAATCTGGAGACAGTAATTGTGCGCCTCAGTGTTTTATTATCATACCAGGTCACTTGCAGCCTACCTCACAGCTGACCTCAACGCTCAAGTGTGGGAATGCCACAGTTGTCAGATCACCCTCTGGTTTTTGAATTACGTCCACCGCATCCGTTTATGGAATGTCTAGGTTGCATTTGAACTTTCTACCTTAGAGGCAATTCATTCTGCCTTAAGATGGCTTGACTGTTAGGAAATCCTTCCCTGTAATGATCTGAAACACTGCTCTCTTCCTGTAATTTTCCACTCATTAGTCTCATTTATGCCTCTTGGGGCCCTATAGAACAAATCTAGTGTCTCATTTGACAACCTGTCAGTTACTAGATAACAGTTATCATGTGTCTTCTGAGTCAAAAATTCTCAACTTAGCATCCTAAATATTCTTTGGTGTCCAGTGGATGATGAGGTGTGAGCCCATCTCCCATGTCATGGAGTCATTTCTGCTTTTATGAAGTCTGAAGTTCATGGCTGCCTGTATCCAGACTTCGCCTCCCTGGCTATTAGGGCCTGCGCTCTTCTTGCCAGTTCCTTCTTATTGGGCAGGACTGGGTTCAGAGTAACAGCTACCCATTCTCTTCAATTAATCAAGCATTGTGGCTTTGCCTTAGTCTCTGAGGGAAAATTGTCAGCCTGACCAGCTAGGACCTTTATTCAGCTTTTCATTGATTCAGGCTCCCAGCAGATCCTGCAGGAAATTGAACTTCACTTCTCCAGCATCTTGTTTCTCTAAAGTTGTGTTCTCTAATGTGTGCTCTGCCGTTGAACTTAAGGGTTACCCTAGCCAGGCCTTAGAAATGAATGAATGGGAAGGGGGAATGATGGTTAATGGGTTTCAGTTTCTTTTTGGGTGACGAAAATGTTCTGGAATTAGATAGTTGATAGTTGCACAACTTTGTGGACATACCAAAAACCACTGGGGGAAAAGGAGTGAGTGAATAAGTGAATGAGAAGAAATAAACATATCCACTTATCCTTGAGGCTTTCTGGAAATTGGAGTTTATATACCTTAACCACAATTTAGCAGAGGTCTTTATGGAATGCCTAGCTGGATATCATAGTCACATCCCTCATGTCCATCTCTCCTCCTTGCTGCTTTCCTCTCTGAACCGTGAAACTACAGCCCCAGGTGCACAGCCCTCTGCTCTGCTGCCCGCTTACATTTCCCATCCCCACAGAGTGCAGCCATCTGACTCAAAAAAAGAAGGGTCTGTCCCACTATCTGCATAGAAAATACTTGGTTAAGTTAGAACAGCATCCAGCCTAAGGGACCTCTGGGATGCATATTACCTACTGTGCTCAAGGAAGCACCAGTCTGCCTGCCTGGGTTGTCTCTGCGGCCTGCCTGGTTGCATGGCTTTTTTGGGGGAGGATGGAGCAGACAGCTCTGTTCCTGGGAGCCCATAGCAATAAGGGAATAGAGTGAGAGTCTAGGAGCAGTACCTGTAAGGATTTCAGAGACTTCCTAATAAACGCTCTGGCTCCCTAAATGGTTATGTTTGTCACCTGCTGAGAATTTCCTGTATTGACTGATCACCTTTGGAGGCAGTGAGGAAGTAGGAGCTAGAAATTCTTATGTCCTCCTGTGTGCCTAGGCTTTAGCTAGAAAGCCTGAGGGATAGGATGTGGTGGTAGTTGTTTTAAAGAGCAAAGGGCTGAGATGAAGTCACTGGACCTGCTACTGGGAAGAAACAGAAAACCTGAGAGTCCTGGAGCTTCTGAGTGAAAAGGTTCATGCATATCTCTAGCAGCCAGGCCAGACCCTCTTCCTGGGCTCTTTTCTCACCTCTGGGAAGACTTCTCCCCAGCAGTCATTCACCCCAGCCCCTTTACATTTCCCTTTGCCCTGCTTCCTCCTCTTGCTGTACCAACTGAAGTCTCCCTCATCCTATAAAACCTTCCTGTACTCTGCTCCAGCTCCAGAACTTTCACTTGTGTCTGTCAGGACACCTTGGAAGAGTTGTCTTTACTTGCTATTGCTTTCTCACTTCCCGTGTATTCCTTATCCCATTTGCAGCGTGGCTTCAGAATGCTGGCTGCAACAGGTTGCCCCAGCCTCAGTTCACTAAGCATCTCTACAGCACTTGACTCTTTAGTCTGCTCTTCCTCCTTGAAATTCACTCACTCTTCCTTGGACTCAAAGGACCCTGCCTGCTCTTGGTTCTAAATGTGGGCTTTTCTTCTCCAGTCACCTGTTTAACTCACCTTTCACTGCCCAGCCCTTCAGGCATCAGTGCCCCTCCTTTCATGCTCTGCGGTCTTTGCACTTGGTGTCCCCTGTGCCTGGTTTCCCCTTTCCCTGCAAAGCCATGTGGCTGATTTCTCACTTCCTTTCAGGTTTGATTGGTCGCCTTCTCAGTGAAGCCTTCCCTAGCCATTCTGCCTCTGATTCCACCCCTCTCACCTAGCCACCTTTCCATTTTTTTTTTTTCTCACCACTCATCACTTGCTAACTAACATAGGTCAAAGGTGGCTTTTTTCTTTGCTTTTAAAATGGAAGATATTTGATATGTTTATGTTGAGAGCTAGGAGATGACAGAGAAGGAAAAGTTGAAAACACAGGCATGAGGGGAGTTGATTGTTTTGCAGGATCTTGAAGAAGAAGGTGGGAGATGAATCAGGGCATAAGTGGAAGGCAAGGCCAAGGCAGAGGAAGAACGCCCCTCCCCTCCCCTCTCCTCCCGTTCCTCCATCCCCTCCCCTCTCCTCCCATCCCTCCTCTCCCCTCCCCTCTCCGTCCCTCCCCTCTCCTCTCTTTTTGGATGGAATCTCGCTCTGTTGCCCAGGCTGGAGTACAGTGGCACAATCTTGGCTCACTGTAACCTCCACCTCCTGGGTTAAAGTGATTCTCTTTCCTCAGCTTCCCGAGTAGCTGGGACTACAGGTGCACGCCACCATGCCCAATTAATTTTTGTATTTTTAGTAGAGACAGGGTTTCACCGTATTGGCCAGGCTGATCTCGAACTCCTGACTTTGGGATCTGCCTGTCTCAGCCTCCCAAAGTGCTGGGATTAAAGGCGTGAGCCGCCGTGCCCAGCCAGAACACCTCTTTCTATGAGACAGAGAGGCAAGACATAGTTGATGGGCCCCTGCTAATGAGGGATCACACCTGGCCATACCCGCTTCCACTGTGAAGTAGAAAGCCGAACGCTGCTAAGAGGGCTGATGGAGTGGTGAAGGAGATAGTCTGAGTGGAAAAAAACAACGCAAACTGCCTTTCGCCTGCTGCCACCCTGCAACGGTCAACACAGAAGACTGCTATGACCAAATACTTGGATGCTTTTTTGCCATACACAAAGCAAGCAATTAGTTCTGCAGCATATGCCAGAGGGTGTCCTGCAGTTCAGTTCTGATATTCTCTGCCTGGAGATAGCATCAGATCCCAAAGATTGAGCTCCTGATCCCACAAGACTGCCTCATGCTTCTGATGCCAGTCGCAGGCTCCAGGTTGGTTTACTTGTGATTCTGTCTGACCAGCTATAAGTTTGGGATCCTGCAACCCCCTCCTTGAGTTTCATTAATTTGCTAGAGTGGCTCACAGAAAACTCAGGGAAACCCTTAGGTTTAGTGGTTTATTATAAAAGATATTGCAAAGGATACAGATAAACAGTTGCCTAGGGTGAGGTATGGGGGAAGGGATGTGGAGCTTCCATGCCCTCCCCAGGCATGCCACCTCCATGTGTTCAGCTCTCCAGAACCTCTCTGAACCCCTGTCCTATTGGGCCTTTTATGGAGGCTTCATTCGATAGGCATGATTGAAGCGTGGACACCCATGTAGACATGTGATTGGGCAAAAAGTGTTTGATCTCAGTGACAGACTGAGTGGAGAAACTCAGCAAGGCCTGTCCAGATGCTTCTTGGCCTCTCTGTGCAGCATTCCCTCTTCCAGGTTATCGGGCAGGACCCCCTTTGAAATAGAAGTCTTCCAACCCACAATCAGACAAGGCAGGTCAGAGAACATTTTAATAGGAAGAGGGGAAGATCAGAATCCTGCCTTGGGGAGAAAAAGAAGCTGGTGAAAGGAGGGCAGGAGAAAGTCAGAGAGATTCAGTGGCCTAAAGCTCCCCAACGTTTTAACAAAAGACTGTAATAAGGGCTATAGGAGTCATAAGCGAGGAACCGCGGATGAACACACACGTGCACACACACACACGTCCATGTCACGCACACATCACAGATAGGATAGGGAACTGACCAGGAATCCATCAGACAAAGCATTGGCAAACACTGCTTAGGTATGTCTGGGTTTGAATCCTACAAAGTCTGGAGAATAATAAGATTATCTTCAGTAATTCTCAGCCTCCCAGGTGTGGGAGCAGAGGTTGCAGAGATCCAAACTTGGAGGTTTCAGGCCGGGCACAGTGGCTCACACCTGTAATCCTAGCACTTTGGGAGGCCGAGGTGAGAGGCTCATTTGAGGCCAGGAGTTCAAGACCAAACTTGGGAGTTTCCTGGCAGGGAGAGCTGGAGGGGCAGCAGGACAAGGGTCTCACTGAGCCTGTTTCTTCTCCGCCCCTTGCTTTTATGATAGAATCGGCCGGCATCTAATCAAAGTTTTACAAAGTAATCCTGGAACCACATTTGATTCCTTTTCCTCTCCAGACTGTTGTCATGGTTTTTTCAGTAATTTCCCTCCCTCCTCACTGTCTCCCATCCACCTTGCTGTCCAGTTATCTTTCCTATGTGGCAGGCACAAGGACCAGATCATGTAGCTTTTCTGCTTGAAAACCTGCTTGTACCTATGGGTTAGGTCTGCAGTTCTTTAGCAGAGCTTTGTTACCAAAGCCCTTTAAGATTAGCCCTCAGTCTCCTCTCCTGCCACCCCACTTCCCGGCGCTGCTTCCCTTAACACATGCACAGTGGGGGCTGGTCACTGCAGGCTCTGCTGATCTTCTGTGCCCTTTCCTGCCTCCAGGCCTCTGCCTGCTCCTTTCCCTCTGCTTACAAGGCCTTGCCTCCCTGCCTCCTTCTGTCAGATGAAATCTCCTTCTAAGAACAACATAAACCTCTGCAGAGCTTTCCTTTCCTCCTAGCAGAATGCATTGTTTCTGTTTATCCTACCAGCAAGTATTCTTCATGTCTTGGATGTAGCAATAAACATCATTACTTCTGGATTTAATTCTCTTTTTTGCTTATTTCCTAAGAGCAGGGTGTTCCTTGGATATCTCTACTTCCTGAGTACCTTGGATATCTCTACTTCCTGGTTGCTGCCCTGCATTTTAAAAATGTTTGGTCTAGTCAGATCTAGCCAGGCAACCTATTGCATACCTTCAGTGTTTCACTCCTTTTTCTGGTTCTTGCCTTGCCCCTTCATTTCTGTGTACTTCTGTCCTTAGTTTTGTGGGTTGCCTGTGGGTTTATATCCTGACATATAAACCTGATCCACTTTCTCTCCTAAAAAATTTCTTTGGAATTGGGCATACTTTTCCCTTATTCCATTCAAGTGTTTCAATCCATCTGTCATGTCTCAGTGGTACCTGTAAGATCATTGGATTTATCTTATGTTCTTGCTGCTGTTACTCCAGCTCTGTGAATTGGCCCATGTGAGGCTCACTTCCTTCTTCTTATTTCCTTGCCAAGTGTCTTGCGTGGCCTGCCCTGCTCTTCTCTTTTCATCCCTACAGGCTTCCGCAGCAACTCATGTCTTCATTTTATCTTGTCATTTCCTCTACTTCCCTCCTGCCTGTATCCTTGCTATTTTCAAATTCAATAAGTGCTAATTTTCTGATAAAATTAACTTCCTGAATGAACCCTAACGTGGTAGTAAAACAAAATTTGTGATCTAAATGCCAATTTTTTTCCCTTTAGTTATATTGGCAAATAGTCTTGCTAGTTAAGAAATGCCTTTTAAACACCAAGTACAGTGCTAGGTGCAGTAGCTTACACCTATAATCCTAGCATTTTGGGAGACCAAGGTAGGAGGATCACTTAAGGTCAAGAGTTCAAGACCAGCCTGAGCAACATAGCAAAACTCAGTCTCTACAGAAAAATAAATTAATCAATTAATTAATAGCTGGGCATAGTGATGCACATCTGTAGTCCTAGCCACGTGGGAGGCTGAGGTGGGAAGACCACTTGAGCCTGGGGGTTTAAGCCTGCAGTGAGCCAAGATGGCACCACTGCACTCTAGGCTGGGCAATACAGTGAGACTGTGTCTCTAACATAAATAAATAAACAAACACCAAGTATCTCTTCAGTCGCAGTGCTCACCTATAAGTTGGGAGAAGTAGAAATAGGAATTTGAGGGCTGGGCATGGTGGATCACGCCTGTAATCCCAGGACTTTGGGAGGCCGAGGTGGGCAGATCACCAGGTCAGGAGTTCAAGACCAGCCTGACCAACATGGTGAAACCCCGTGTCTACTAAAAATATGAAAATTAGCTGGGTGTGGTGGCACGCACCTGTAATCCCAGCTCCTCAGGAGGCTGAGGCAGGAGAATCACTTGAACCCGGGAGGCGTAGGTTGCAGTGAGCCAAGATCGCACTACTGCGCTCTAGCATGGGCGACAGAGCGAGACTCCATCTATTAAAAAAAAGGAAAATAAATAGAAATTTGATAGTGTAAAAATCCAGGTATTCCTTTGGTAGCAGATAGATCTTAATGCCATGTTGATAAGACACTGGAAATTAGAAAGTTTGTTTTTAGACTGGGCACGGTGGCTCATTCCTGTAATCCCAGCACTTTGGGAGGCTGAGGCAGGTGGATCACCTGATGTCAGGAGTTTGAGACCAGCCAGGCCAACATGGTGAAACCTCAAGAGAATAAAACTACTGACAACATTCTGTTTCAGCCATAGGCAAACTAAAATAACAGATTTACTCTGAAGTTTCACAGATCTCCAGGCAAGAGGAAACCCTACATATAAAGCTGACTTTCATTTTTAAACTGTCACCTGATTTCTGAACTGTCATCTGATTCCTGAATTCCAGTACCTTGGCGTTATCTCCATATACCAGCTTAACCACCCAACTACATTCCCAAGAGATAAAAAATAAAAACAAACTTTTTTTTTTTTTTTTTTTTTTTTTGAGACGGAGTCTTGCTCTGTCGCCCAGGCTGGAGTGCAGTGGCGCGATCTCGGCTCATTGCAACCTCTGCCCCTCCAGGTTTAAGCAATTCTCTGCCTCAGCCTCCGGAGTAGCTGGGATTACAGGTGCATGCCACCACGCCCGGCTAATTTTGTATTTTTTAGTAGAGACAGGGTTTCACCATCTTGGCCAGGCTGGTCTTGAACTCCTGACCTCGTGATCCACCCGCCTTGGCCTCCCAAAGTGCTGGGATTACAGGCATGAGCCACTGCGCCTGGCCAGTCTATAACATTTCAAACCAAATATTTATTTTAAAGTGGCACCAGGTGGATAATACTTCCAGAAGCTGGAAAAATCAAAAGCATATTTCTTCTGGAAGAATTAACTCTCAATCAAACCTTTAAAGATTTGCCACCGATACAGTTCTAGTAAATATTATCTCACTTAAAAAATCATGAAACCCACAGGAAATAAGGTACCATGAGTGAGAGCAGAAAAAAAACAAATGTTGGAATCACATTCACAAAGACTTTAGATATTAGAATAATTGACAATAAAATAAGTATTTTAATATATTGAAAGAAACTAAAGAGTGAATTGAAAGTATGAGTTAGAAAAAAAGATATTAAATGACTAAGAGATTTGAGAAAAGAACTAAATAAAA